GTCTTGCGCAAGGTGCGCATGGAGATGGCTGGCTTGTTGGTAAGTAACTTTTTAATTTGTAACTGAGGAATTGAAATTATTTTCTGACCATTTATACCTATAATTCACTATTTCCCACAGGTGATCGAGGCTATGCATTAGCCCCATGGCTTATGACACCACTAACCATCCCTCAGACCAGACAGGAGCGCTTGTATAACCAGCTGCACACGCGCACTCATGCCGTAGTCGAGCGCACAATTGGTGTTTTGAAGGCCCGGTGGATGTGCCTTGACACCGCTGGTGGCAAGCTGCTCTACACACCTGAGAAGGCATGCCAAATTATTCTGGCATGCTGCATATTGCACAATATTGCAGTGAAGGAAGGCGTTCCATTCCCCGATCCAGCACCAGCAGAAGAAATGCCACAAGACCGCCCACATGGACCACACCAGGAAAATGCTATCATCACAAGACAGCAGTTAATTGCACGGCTTTAAGGCAGGCCATGATGTTGTAGCCTAATTAATTTAATATAATGAACAGCTTTATTCAGACTTGGACTTTTTTAATTCACATTTTATTTTGTTGKGATTTAGTCAGCACATCAGCTATGCATGCCAGACRGTCTGATATTTTCTCCAAAGTGCCAGACATATTTTGCAGACATTTTAAAATGCTTTCTTGATTTTTCAGAATGGCATCTGACACCACTTGTGTGCGTGGGAGATGGCGGGGGGCTGACACAGCTGGTCCGGCCTGCGGTTCCATGTGCTCCTCTTCTGAATAAAAGAAAATTAATACATTTGTTTTACCATTTCTTCAACATAACTTAAATATGTGACCAAAGGGAAACAAAAGCAGGACTACAGATAAATTAAATTGATTTTTGATTTTTATTCTGTCAGTTAAGACGCATTTAAATAAAATACTGTCTTTTTTTATTATACTTACCATTACTGTCAGGTGTATTAGCCATATCCTCACATCCAGGTTGATGTAAGTCGGTGTCCAGGGGAACATCCTCAGATGGAATGCCTGACACAGAAACCTCACCCATTATGGCATTTATTTTCCCATCCATGTCGGTAACGCAAACTTTCCCTTGACCTCCTCCCGTTGCAGTCATAGAACACCATGCTGTGGCGAGACGTTTTTTTGAAGCCATTTTCAAATCAAACCACTTCTTTTTTGTTTCGGCGACTGTACGACCCAAAGGAGACACGGAATTAACAGCAGCAGTTATTTCATGCCATTCTTTGGCTTTAGTCGGTCCTTTAACTCCACGATTTACGCTGCTAAAAAGGCCAGATTTTCTTTTCTCGATCTCTGACAGCAGGACTTCAATCTCTGAACTTGTAAAGTTCTTCTTTTTACTTTTCGTCGTCATTTTCATGAATGGACAGTTTCGGATATCGGAGCCAGGAAACAGAGACTTATATGGTGTTTTTGGGGTGGTAATTATGCTAATCTCCTCTCCGCGTGCACGTGCAGCTGGATACAAACAGGTGGAATTCATCATGTTTACGCAACTCATTTACACCCTTTTCCTGAAGATAGAAGAGTTTGTTGAATCTGACGTGGTATGTTCGTACGAACCCTTTGTACGAACAAAAGTAAGAGAAATTTAGGAGAAGAANTATTCACTTAAAGAAAATAAAAACACTTTAAAATGATTTTCTTCTTATAAGTGTAAAAAATAAAATCAAAGACAAAAAAAAAACAATAGAGAAGTTTTTTTTCACCAGGGTTACCTCTACAGAATTGACCTTATAATGTATTTCTCTTCCTTGTTTACACCCCTGGAAGTGTTACTTGTTACATCAGACGTAGAACATAACTCACTTTTGTTTATCCAGACAGAAAGAACACATGATAAGACACACACCAACTCTTTGTCATGGCCTTATGGCTGCAATGATCAGAAAGTAAAATACAAAACTGCATCTAACATTCAATTAATCAGTTACAAAATTTCCTTCAGTCCCAAATTTCAAGTTGATCATGCAGCTGTTTCTATGACGGCTGACCAAATATCTTGAATATTTTTAAATAATAAACAATACGAGTGTGGGGGTCATAATAATCTCTCCATCTCCACCTTCTTTAGCTTATCCATAGTCGGGTCGCGGAGGCCACAGGTCCAGGAGAGAAACCCAGACATCTGTCTCCCCAGCGACACTTTCTAGTTCATCCTCGGGGACCCCAAGGCATTCCCAGGCCAGAGAGGATGTTCCAAGAATGCGAACACAGCTCCTGCTTTGGTTAAATAGGGACTGGATCACTCTCAGTAGCGACCCAGACACTCCACAGGTTTCCCCAAGGAACACGGTCATCAGCCTTCTCCAAGTCCACAAAACACGTAGACCAGAGAAGCAAACTCCCATGAGCCCCTTAGCAACTCTGCAAGGGTAAAGATCTGGTCCACTGTTTCACGTCCAGGACAAAAGCCACACTGCTCCTCTTGAATCCGAGGTTCGACAATCGATCAGAGCCTCCCTTCTAACACCCTGGAGTAAACTTTCACAAGGAGGATGAGAAGTGTGATCCCACGATAGTTAGAACACACTCTCCGATCCCCTTTTTTAAAAATGGGAACCAACACGCCGATCCGCCACTCCACAGGAGTTGTCCCATGCGATGTTGAAGATGTTGAAGAGACGTGTCAACCATGACAGCCCCACAACATCCAGCATAATAATGTAAGAAGAATTTTAAATTTGCAGATAATAATGGCAAGAGCTAAACAAGCATCTATGCTCCATAATTTAGACTCAGAAAAGTGTTCAACAGAGTGGATTGGATGTTCTTAGAGCATACACTTATTGAAATGGGCTTTGCTGAGCAATTTGTTAAAGGGATCATTTTTCTTTATAAAAACCCTAGGTCAAGTGTAGTTAACAGGCACTGCACTGATTTTCTAAGATGGGGAAAGGAGTGAGACAGGGGGATTCACTGTCACCTGTCCTATTCACTCTAGGCTTCAAGCCGGCTGAAGCTTTTAAGCCAAAATATGCAAATTCAAGGAATAACAGATGAAAAAATAACAGTCCAAAAAAATTGCTGTCTTTGCTTTATACAAAACATCCAAGCTCATCAATGTTAGCACTTATGCAATGCTTATATACATACATGCAGAGATATCAGGATACAAAATTAATCAAAATAAATCAAAGGAGATGATGATGTCAGGGAAGTGACCTGAGGACTTAAATAAAATGGTGTCCTTTCAGAAGAGCTTTAGGTATTTGGGGGTTAGTTTGACAATTTAATCCATAAAATTGTTTGATGCTAACTACACTAAGTTAATGATACTATTAAAGAATGAGCTGACTCATTGGTAGGTCCTCCCTTTATATTAGGTAGAGTTGAAACCATAAAAATGAATTTATTTCTTCATCTTCTGTTTTTGTTCCAATATTTGCCCATAAGAGATCTTATCTCTATTTTTAATATACTAAATGAGTTCATCACTCAATTTATCTGGCAGCACAAGAAACCCAGAAAAATTTTTTAAGACACTTTATTTGCCCAGGCCTGGGAATTTAGTACCTACAGTGGTTTGCAAAAGTATTCATACCCCTTGAACTTTTCCATATTTTGTCACATTACAACCACAAACATAAATATATTTCACTGGAATTTAATG